ACTGTCTTGCTGAAGAATTTGCCCTCCCCTGTGGTCTTTAATGTTATGGGCTGCACAAATGTCTTGATACCTCAGGCTGTTAATGTTGCCATCCACTCTGCAGATCTCTCGCATACCCACATACCGAATGTAACCCCAAAACCATGCTTTTTCCTTCACTAAACTTGACTGATTTCTGTGAGGGTCCATGCGGGTTCCAATAGGTGTTCTGCAGTATTTGTGATGATTGGGATGCAGTTCAACAGATGATTCATCTGAAAATCTACCTTCTGCCACTTTTCCAAATGATCAACTAAAAGTCAAGTTATTATTTGTTGCTCTTGCAACTGGGATCGACTACAACACTTTTGTCAAGTAGTGTATATGTTTGTATGCTTTATTTTATAGTCAGACAATAAGGGTGTCCCGGTGGTGCAGTGGATAGCACAATCACATCACAGCAAAAAGGTCTCTGGTTCGAGCCCTGGTTGCTTTGGTCGGCATTTCTGTGTGGAGTTTGCATGTTCTCCTCCCAGTGTTCGCCTGGGTTTCCTTTGGATGGTCTGGTTTCCCCCACAGTCTATAGACATGCAGGAATACAGTATAGGTGAATTGAATAAACTAAATTGGCCGAAGTGTATGTTTGGGGGGCGACATGGTGGCGTTATGCTGTCGCCTCACAGCAAGATTGTCGCTGGTTTGAGCCTCGGCTGAGTCAGTTGGCATTTCTGTGTGGAGTTTGCATGTTCTCCCTGTGTTCATATGGGTTTCCTCTAGGTGCTCCCGTTTCCCCCACAAGTCCAAAACATGCGGTACAGGTGAATTTATAGGCTAAAATTGTACATAGTGTATGTTTGTGAATGAGAGTGTATGGGTGTTTCCCAGGGATGGGTTGCATTTCCCAGGGATGGGTTGTTCATTCCGCTGTGGCGACCCCTGGGGAATAAAGGGACTAAACTGAAGAAAAATGAATTAATGTACAGGATTCTAGTTATTGCTTGCATTTTTGCTTATTGGTTGGTAGCGCATTGCTAAGTATAGTTGTTGGTGGCTGTTAATTGCAAGTATTTTACCTTTTAATGATCAAGTAAAATTGAAATCAGCTTCTTGAATTATGACATGCAGTTAATTGAGCACTATAAAGGTTTGAAGATGACTCAACTGGCAGGTTTCAGGCTCTCAACCAAACCACAAGATTTTACGACAGAAAATTTCAGTCAGCTGTAGCTTTGCCAGCCAACAGCTCATTCAGAGTGTTCAGTGGAGTGAAAGAGAGCGTGAAGACACCACAGGATTAGATGCTTTTTTTCATCCAGAGTTTGTTTGCTGCTATTATTGTATTGGTTTTAACACACTGTGACTCAGAATTGCTTTCTGTTTTGCTACTTGGTAATTGACATCTCCATATATTTTTAACAAAACTGATTTCGGGTCCTTGATTCTGATTATCTGAGCAGTGTTTGAAGACGTTATGAATTATTTTATAAACAAACACCTGTGGCATTTTACGTCTGTGTTTCTGTCATTTGATGTATTTATTATTTCAGTAGGATGAACTGTTTAAAATTCCCTATAAATGGCCAGGGACTATAAAAATACGCTACAAAAAATTTAAATAACACTGTAAACACAGGTAGAACATGCAAATTCTTTTCAGAAACACTAATTGGCCCAGCTGGGACTCAAACCAGCGACCTTCTTGCTGTGATGCGACAGTACTAACCACAGTTAAAATTATTTAAAAATATATTTCCAGTAGCCAAATTTAAATATACAAAAAGTTAAATATAACAATGAAAATTAAATTTAAATGTTATATTGGCAACTAATTGAAATAAACAAGTCTATACAACTAAAATGAAGATTTTTTAAAAAATAAAAAAAATACTAATAAAATGCTAAATAAAGTACATCTGAATTGATTAAAGTAACATTTTCATATAGAGAACATTCAACATTTTAACAGATTACCAAACAAACAAAAAAAACTTTGTAAAATTTCAAAAGAGTATTTTCTTACAAAACATATTCCAGTGATGAAACTACTGAAATGCCAAAAGACAGTGGGAAGTCACAAGGCCAAAGACTGCCTTTGCACAGAGTGGAGGTTTCAGCTGCAGTCTTTGACCCTTTTGCATGAATTATATATTCAGTTTTGATGCAAAATAACTGCACATGTATTTATACATAATTTATGAAATACAAATCCTTTTTATTTTGAGAACATATAATCCAACAATGAAGTAGTTACAATACAAAAATGTGAAAAGAAAAATATTACAAGACAGACTTGAGAAATAGCCCCAAAGTAATGTTGTCTTGTAAGAATTTACAAGACTGAGCTATTTTCTTTAATTGCTAACAAGAACCTTAAACATAACAAATGATAGTGTTTTCAAGTAAATTGCATTTATTACAGTATCAACAGATTCATTCTTAGATTTATAGACTGTTTTTGTATATGGTACTTCCCCTTACATCATTATTAAATAAATCACCAAATTCTGCTCTAAAATATTATTATACAGATTTTATGAAGAGATTTGATAAATATTCATTTATTAATTTTTTTACACACTCATTCACACACGTACACTATGGACACTCATTTATTCATTTTCTTTTAGGCTTAGTCGCTTCATTAATCTGAGGTTGCCACAGCAGAATGAACCGCCAACTTATCCAGCATATGTTTTGCGCAGCAGATGCCCTTCCAGCTGCACCCCATCACTGGGAAACACCCATACACTCTCATTCACACAAACATACACCATGGACAATTTTAAAATACCCAATTCACCTGTACCACATGTCTTTGGACTGTGGGGGACACCAGAGCACCCAGAGGAAACATACGCAAACTCCACACAGAAATGCCAACTGACCAAGCTGAGGCTTGAACCAACGACCTTCTTGCTGTCAGGTGATCGTGCTACCCACTGTGCCACCGTGACGCCTATTTGATAAATATATTCAATATAAATCCCAAAAAATGGTGTCGCCTTACAGCAAGAAGGTCGCTGGGTTGCAGGTTTGAGCCTCGGCTTGGGAGTTTGCATGTTCTCCCTGCATTTGCGTGAGTGTGTGTGTGTGTGTGTGTGTGTGTGTGTGAATGTTTCCCAGAGATGGGTTGTGGCTGGAAGGGCATCCACTGCGCAAAAATGTGCTGGATAAGTTGGGCATGTAGTTTTCTCATATATTTATAAAATCTTTGGTGAGAGTATTTACTAAGGTAAATCCCATACTTTTTTTCTGATCATATTGTACATCTAGGCAATACTGTTGTTCTATATATTTATTTAATGTAAAGGTTATAAAATGTAAACTAGTATCTATAATTTTCACATCATCGATATATGCTGTGACTGAAACATAAGAATAAGCCCAGAAGAAGAAGATACAGTTGAAATCAGAATTATTAGCCCCTCTGTTTATTTTTTCCCCCAATTTCTTTTTAAAGGAAAGAAGATTTTTTAAACACACAATTTCTAAGCATAACAGTTTTAATAACTCATTTCTAATAAGTGATTTATTTGATCTGTGCCATGCTGACAATAAATAATATTTCAGATATTTTTCAAGACATTTCTATACAGCTTGAAATGACATTTTAAGGCTTAACTAGGTTAATAAGGTTAACTAGGTAGGTTAGAGTAGTTATTGTATAACGATGGTTTATTCTGTAGACTATCAAAAATAAATAGCTTAAAGGGGCAAATAATTTCGACCTTAAAATGCTTTTTATAAAATTAAATACTGCTTTTAATGTAGCCGAAATAAAGCAAATAAGACTTTCTCCAGAAGAAAAAATATTATCAGACATACTGTGAAAATTTCCTTGCTCTGTTAAACATCATTTTGGAAATATTTAAAAAAGAAAAAAATACATGGGAGGTTAATAATTCTGACTTCAACTGTATGTGCCAATTTTTCAAAACAGTATTTGGCCAAAACACAACTGTAAAAAATAAATAAATATTGCAACCTTTTTTTTTTATTTTATTAAAACAAATGAACTTTTCGGGCCACCTCAACTCACATCACATCAGTCAACCTGACTAAAAATACCCAATTAAACTTTGTTAGCTGATTAGATTGGCTATTAAATAAATGAGTGTAACATGAAAAAAAAAAAAACATTTGCAGTCATGACTTTTCATGACATTAAACTAATCATTGAAAAAAAAACATTTAAAGATGTCCAAATAAACCAATTAAAATTCAGAAATGTTATAAATATTTTAATGGAACACGATCTTTACTTTCTGTCCCAATAATTTAATTTTTCTCAAAGATATACTAGTGAAACATAAGACTATGAATTACATAAATTTCATCAAATACTGCAATTGCATAAAACTCTATAGTTAAATGCTGATACGAATTAAGGAATCAATCAGCTTGCCGTCCTACACATATAAGGGCCTGAAAGACCCATATTTGACCCAAATATTCCCATATTTGTGAATGAGCTGTAATAGCAGCTGTTGGCCACAAAGGGGCACTTTAGACACATGACCAAAACATAAAGAGGCCTAAACATGATTATTTCCAACTGGCCAGATTCCTGACAGCAATTCTACACAGAGAAACAGAATTAAGGTTACAAAAGTATACATATAACGCACAATTTGATATGCACAAACACTCTCAGTGTGTTAAATTTTAGATCCTATCCACTGAAAAGGATGCAATTCGTCAGATCATGTTAATCTAATTTTCACTGATATGCTGAACACGGCTTCGCACAGCATTCACTGTGACTAAAGGTAAATTTCTTAAGTAACCCTACAAATCTGTGATTCTGATGTGATGCTGTAGCAGGATGTTGAATAGATTCAAACGTTTCACATTTGCAGGGTCTTCAGTTCAGACCTAAATAGTGTCAAACAGGAAGAATCTTAAAAGAAGGAAACCAACGCCACCACATACACACACAAACACACACACACACACACCCACTCATCTGACTTCTCCAAGAGACAGATTTAGACTTCATCTTAGACAGGAAGAATGGCTGACAATATACCTAAGGTCAGTCCGCTATTCACAGCCATGCATCTCATAGTCATTCAGACAGCCTGAAAGCAGAGTGCAATCAAAGGAGAGCGTAGAGAAAGAGAAAAACAAGGTAAAGAAAGGTCCAGCGGAGGAGCTATGGAGGAGGACATCAGGAGAAAAGGGATGCTTTACTTTCATCAGCAGCGCTTCGGCAAGGTGAGGTGCAATGCCCTTTTTTGGAGATTTATAAGTGGGGTTTTTAGCAACATTTTTCTGTAAGTTAAATGAAAGGAGAAGTACTTACATCAGCGGACTGACAACTGCAACGCTCAGATGTGTGGCTGCAGCCACTGGAATGGAGAACAAGAGCACACAAAAAGTTAACATTAAAAAACACAATTATAACTGTCTAATTTAATTTGCTTGTAAAATGCATCAGGTTTTCTCACTTTAAGACAAGATTTGACAAAAATAAAAGACAACAAATGTATTTTAATGTTACTGTAACTTAATATTAAATGTATCAGGTTTCAACAAATTTATTTTATACAAAATTTCTTCTTTTATCAGTTTGACTCAAAAGAAGAAAAGTTTATTTCATTTGACCAGTGGTGTAAAGTAGATAATTACAAATACTCAAATTACTGTAATTGAGTAGTTTTTCTCAGAAATTGTAATTTACTAAGTTTTAAACGTGTACTTTTACTTGGCATTGAGTACGTTTTAATGCAGTACTGGTAATTTTACTCCACAACTTTCCTTCAACTTGCAGTCAGTACTTATTTTTTTCTTGTCTATGAAGTCACATAGAAGGTAAATTGAATCATAATAAACTACCTTAAGAAATGGCTGATTTATAATTGCAGCAAACTGTTTGGAAGCATTAAAAGTGTCCAAGAAGATGTCCAAAATCTTTACACACATTGACCCAGAGACTGTTTAGATGCATGTCACTGATGAGAAGATGACAGATTTTTACTGTATGTTGTACAGTAAAATCAACCAAATCAAAAAGTAAAATTAGGTTGGTTGAACCTAAAATCAACCAAATATCAACATCTAATGATGTTACAGCTTGAGGTCGTGTGGCCGTTACCTCTATGATGTCTATCAGATGTTGGATTTTGGTTGCCGTACCTGATGAACCATCACTTTCAAACACAACCTAAAATCAACCAAATATTAGTGTCATTTCACATCGCTATTGAACATCAAAATAACGTTGTGCTTAGATGCTGACTAGACATTGAGTATTAGTCACCTGACATCACAACCTAAATCTAACCTAAAATTAAAGTCTTATGAGGTTGTGTGCCTGCTATAGGCAATAACTAAATGTCTAAAAGTGTAAAATGAACTGAGAAAAATTATTTCAAAGATTTGTTTTGTTGCACAGACAATTTAGTTATAGATAGGACATTGGAAAATTTAATTACATGTTTTAGTGATGACATTTATCTGCAATAAATAATCTTGAGCTCAAATTTGACCATTCCCCCCTATTTTAAAGTTACTGTCCTCTGCATTTGTATTGTATGCAAAAACTTCCACATGATCAATATTGCTGCTCAACATAACAGTTTAAATCCATTAAAAAAAAATAATTCTATCACAAAAATAACCCAGCCTAGCCTAAAGATTGACTGGACTGATATGAATGCCAGCAGGTTGGAATAATGATCAATATTCTTGTGGATTAAACATCTCTGTAGACATTAATTTCAGTGGGTTTTATTGGGTTACAAGAAAAGGTAGGAAATGATTTTAACTGCGAAGGGACAGATTTTGTTTATGATCATGCTACAATGCTGACACTGTCACAGCATTCCAGTCAACTTGACTGTATAGTAAAAATATGAATTATAGAAAAAAAAATAACTGAAATTATTTAGACTGTTAGCCTAGTTTTTCATAGTAATTATGACAGTGAAACAATGGCAGAATATCGTAACTCCAGCCTGCTTACAGTAACCTCATATTGATGCGCAGCTGAACAAAGGCAGAGAATCACAACTAAATTGGAGCATACAAAAACAAAGTCAAAAGAGGCGTAACTGCTTTTATGTTGCTCTGCCTTGGTTACGCTTGGGCTTTTGGATGTTACTGTTAAGACAAGATGTTATTTTCTTGAAAAAAACAAGGTCTTTATTGTCCCAAAAATATCAATAACTAATTTTTCTCAAAAAACGAAGCTACGGTCTTTTGCCACTGGTCTACAACCCTCTTCTGGGTCTGGTGCCTTTATACATATGTTTACTTCTTCATAGGTCAAAAAGCCAGAATGCCCAATGTTCAAGTGAAACTCATCATTTGCCTGTTTCCCAAGTTCGAACTAAAATAGGGTAGCGAGCCCTTATTCATGTTGCCCACTCATCCCGGAATGGAATACTCTACAGTCTGAACTAAAAATGTCTGAGCTCATCCCAATTAAATCATTTCGCAAACAACAACAGTCCATTTCTCAATGTATGTGTTTTTAACATATTGTAATGTGGTATAGCTGAATAACTAAAGTGAATTTTTATATTATCTTTACCTTTTATTTATTTTTATAATTTATTTTCCTAAGTTGTGTGTTGTGGACCTCTTGGCCAGGTCACCCATGTAAATGAGATATAGATCTCAATGGGTTATTTATCTGGTCAAACAAAGAAACACACACTATACCGTTCAAAAGTTTGGGTTCAGTAAGATTTTTAAATGCTTTAAAATAAGCTTATCCTGCTCACCTAGGCTGCATTTATTTAATCATAAATACAGTATAAATTGTAAAATCGTGAAATATTATTTCACTATGAAATAAATGTTCAAAAGATTTTAAAGATGATTTTTCAGCTTTCGTTCTTCTGAGTCACATTATCCTCCAGAAATTAATCTAGCATTTATTATTATTATTATTGGTAATAGTAATAAAAGCAATGACTGGAGAAATAATTTCATTTCAAATAACTTCATACAATAAGCACACTGTTAACCCTTACCATAGATTATGCAGTAAATAACTATAAAATAGCCAGTGTTTAGCTGTAATGAAAAGAAACAGTATTTTACTGTAAAAGGAGCAGACTTTGTATTAAATTGTGTAGCGCAAATGATAAATTACAATAACTTACTTTACGTACACATTACAGGTAGTAACTGTGACAATAAATGACAAATTACTGTTCAACCAGTACTGTCCCATCTACTCTGATGCTTTATGTTGCTAATCATAGAGACGTGCATTTTAAAGGCAGAAAACAATGATTTAGGCATCACCAGACACTCCCATAGGCTGTCTTATTCTTAACAAAAAAGTTTTAGAAAAAGTTTTCAGAAAATGCTGGCCCTTTAAGGGAGCCACGTGTTTGATTTGTTTACTGCTGCGTGCTCTATTCTCTGTCCATCAATTCAGATGTAGTCTGATATGTTTTAAGCTTTAAATAAGAATCTACAATGAGTAAGTAAAATGTGTTCAAATTAATTTTGAGGGTTTCTAAAACAAGGCTGTGTTTTAAGTTATATTGTAGTTATCTTGAAATGTGTTGAAAGCTACATTGTTAGCTAGTTAGCCTCTCCTCATATAACTTCTTACATTACTTTTATTTAAGTATATTTATTTATTGGATATTGCATATTGTCATAATGTACAGATGCTAACATTTCATATATCTTTCTGGCAAATAAGCAGTTTTAATGCACATAAAAACCATTAAATTCCATCACCTTAGTAAGGTAACGTGCACAGAAATCATTACAGGGAATCACAAAAATATGATACACATAACCATCCACAAACAAAAGCTCCACTGTCAGGTCCCAGGTTGTGAGTTTGTTGCTATTTTAGATTTCAGAGCAGTGTTTCCACCTATGAATTTATATTAGAAACAATATAAAAGTTTGTTGTCATGAGATTTTTAAAGTAAATAATAAGTATAACAATAAAAGATTGGATCCTTTGGATACTCTGTGTTGCCGACTTTATTTTTGTTTTTTTTATAATTATTTTAAACTTTTTATTGAGAATTGACAGTATGTGCCTGTGTTTGACAAACATGTTTCTATCTATATCTCTATCTATGTGTTCTTTTCATATGCCTTTTTTAAATAATTTAAAAAATAAAATAATTATTTTGTGTTTTTTGCTGTTCAGTTTTTTATGCATGGTTCGCATTGAGGAGAGAGTTACACGTTTCACTGCAACACACCTGAACCAATTAATTAGGACCTGAACACCACTTGATAATTACAGGCAGGTGTGTTTGTTATGGGTAGCAACTGAAATCTGCAGGAAGGTAGATCTCCAGGAACAGGATTAAGCACCCCTGCTATATACCATGGGGGTCAAACTCCAAGTTCTTGGAGAACTGCAGGGCAGCAGAGTTTAGTTCCCACCCTGATTCAACATTACCTGTAGATTTCTAACGAGCCTTAATTAGTTTTATCAGGTGTGTTTAATTAGAGTTACAGCTTAAAGTCCCGGTCACACTGCACTTTTCTCCCTATAGACTTCCATTCATACGCATGTGAATGCTGCAGACCTGGAATGCAACCTCATGTGACAAATTTAACAGCAGTAAAAAATTTCGCAGTATTGGAAAGTTCAAGCTTGGAGAACTCTGACCTGCATCATGTGATTGCTTGAGACCAATCAAAGATCAAATCATGACCTCTCTGAACAAAAATTATGGACCAGTCGCTTGCTTTTTCAATCTCTAATTATTTTGTTTAATTCCACTCCTTTTCGCAGTGCCATATGACAGAATTTCGCATACTCAAACATTAGTGTGACCACAGCCTTACTGTGCAGACCTGTGGCTCTCATTAATATGTAAGATGATATTTATATCTGCTGGTTTCTTAATTTGTTATATATTTTCTGTTGTATATTTGTTTGCTGCCAAAACAATAAAATAAATTTGTCAGAATTTTTATGCCTTCTATTTTTAATAACAGGTAATAATACTAATTAATTTTGGTAACACTATGACATACTATTAATGTGTATGCAGTATAATGCTGTAAGTTGTAACACTACAGTACAGTAATTAACTGTACACAGTTTCCAGTTAGTTACCACTACTGCTCTATTACAGTAATTAACTGGCAACACTGTTGCCAGCTACTCACTTTAATGGTTCGGTTACAGTAAATAACTGGCAACACTGTTGCCAGTTACTTACTGCAACCAAATCTTTACAGTGAGTATCTGGCAACAGTGTTGCCAGTGTTCTACTGTAAAAAAGCCTGGTAAGGTCTAACAGTGCAGTTATTTAAATTTTTAATAAATAATTAACAATTAGTTTTTTTTTTTACATTTAATTAATTACATTTACAATTATATAGCGATTTTCTGGACACTCAAAGCGCTCTACACATTCCACCACCAGTGTGCAGCATCCACCTGGATGACTCAACGGCAGGCATATCGTACCAGACCGCACACCACACACCAGCTGCTTGGTGAAGAGAAGAGAGTGATGAAGCTAATTATGATTTGGGGGATGGTTAGGAGGCATGATGGAAAAAGGCCAGGGCTGAAACCCCTACACTGTTTTAAAGGACATCCTGGGATTTTTAACGAAAATATCCAAAGGACGGTGCTCAATGAACATTATAGAGTCCCCTTCATTTTACTGGGGTGTTAGGACCCACACAGACCACAAGTTGAGCACTTCCTGCTGGCCTCACTAACACCACTTCTGGCAGCAACCTAACTTTCCCATGTGGTGTCCTATACAGGTACTGACCAGGCACAGCCCTGCTTAGCTTCAGTGGGCGACTATGTGAGAGTTGCAAAAGGCTAGCTGCCTTGATGAACAAAACAATTTTCTTAAAAAAAAAATGAATAAATAAAAAACATGAAAAAAAAGATCCTAAACTTTTGAACGGTGGTGTATTTACTAAACTAATAAAACGTAAAATACTTACGTTTCTACGTGAAATCAGGCTGGTATGTACAATTTTATATTTTTGATAAAAATAAAGATGGGCATGGTTACTTTACTTTTCAAATGTTACTTTAATTAAAAACTAAAAATACAGTAAATATTGAACTTTTACCACAAAATGAACTGCAACCCTGTTTATTCATTCACTTTTATGTGTCATCAAATGATTTTTCTTCTTAATATGCCGGACAAGACTTTGCCATATAATGTTACACTGAATAACAGTATGATGGGATGCATTTTTCTTTATGTAAATTACGATTAATGTATGATAATAATTAGCTATATTCAAAAACTATAGAAAGAAAGCAAATAAAACGTATTTAAAAACATATTTTCAGTTAAATTATTTCCTTGAAAGTATTTATTACTTAATTTATTAAATAGAACTACTGCTTGGATTATTTGTTAGCTGCATAATGCAACTCACTTTACTCTCTCTCTCTCGTTCCATATATATATAAAATATATATAAATAGCCATACAGTATATAAAACTAGCACCAGCGTAGCACATATTTGACTCTGTTATATATGTCTGTATGTGTTGTTTTCAGAGATGGAGGAAAGTGTGGTGTGTGTTGGTGGCGGAGGGCAGGCGCAGTGTGGCTCGACTGGAGCTTTATGAGCACAAACACTCCTCCTTCAAACAGGGCACCAACAAACGAAAACCCGATTACAAACAGGTGATCCGCCTGCGAGAATGCATTCGCATTTCCAACTGCGACATGGCGGATTGTCCGAAAGACTGTGCCGCTTTTCTGCTCGAGACCTCTGACAAACTATACGTGTTTGCGGGTCTGCAGTCAGAGGTGAAGGACTGGATCAGCAGTCTCTGTCAGCAGGCCTTTCGTGTAGGTTCAGTCACATCAGATACATTACCATAATGATGATGAGCGTTTTGATAATTGCTTATAGCACATAATAGATGCATTCAGATGTCACACTCTAGATGTTTTTTTTTCTGTCAGGATGTGGAGGCTGAGCAAAGATCACAGAGAGAAAGATGCGTCTGTTCTGAAGCTCCAGGCACTTCACATGTCAGAGAAATGCAGGACAATTCGCTCTATGATACAGCGGAGAACGGTACGATGATTTTCTCACACTCACACTACTGCAAAAAAAGAGATTTTCACTAAAGTTTATATTATTTTTAAACCCATTTACCTTTGTTAATACACTGTAATAAGTCATGAAAAAAATTGTAATTATTAAATAGTTTATACATTTTCTAACTTATTTTTTAAGGGTCCCACTTTATATTAAGTGGCATAACTAATATGTACTTACATAGGAATTAATAGTTTGTTACAGTGTACTTATTGTCAATACATGTATTTACTGTGTACTTCTGCTTGATTAAATACATGTATGTAGTTACATCTGTAATTAACTTTTGTAATTGCATTTGTAAATACACTGTTGACCATCCCTTACACCTTAACCCACCCATAAACCTACCCATGCCACCAAACCTGTTCATAACCCAACCTCTATCCAAACTCAAGAGCACCACAAGTGTTCTCAAATACATTATAAACACAGTAAGTACATTGTATAAATTTTTTTTATGTAAGTACATAGTAGTTAATGACACTTAATATAAAGTGGGACCTTTTTAAGTAATAGTTGACCTAAAAACTAAAAATACAGCATAATTTACTCACCCTCAAGCCATCTGTTTCCTATCAGATGAATAGTCAGAGTAGTTTATAATTTTATCCTGGCTATTATATGCTGTGTAATGGTGTTGGATAGTGGCTTTTATTTTGAAGCTTTCAAAAGCACATGGAGGGGTTGAACACATACATGTTTTATATTCCTCATCATTTTATGGAGCTTCTGCTTTGAATGTCTGTTTTGTCATCCGTCTAATGGTGTATGTTAGTCATGGACAACGAGCATTCGGTTGATGCCGAAAGTCATTGATTGCAGTTTTTATGAGCAATATCACACGAGTAGCAGTGCAATGTGGCTGTATATTGGCACTGATGGGAGGCGTGCGTTGGCTCGAGGCTGCAGGCGGAGTGCCTGAGTCTCCCACCAATGATGATATACAGCCATACCGCACTGCTACTCATGTGACATGGCATTTATACAACAGTCCGATGGCACAATCGTGTGTATAAAAAAGAAAATCAAACATGGAGAGACTAAAAATACTTTTGTACAAGGAACTACTTTCTTCCACCACTCATTCACATCTGCAGCTGACATCAGAACAGCAGAAACCATTGCTACTTCACCAATGTCACTTAAGAGCTAGTATTTGAATGATTCTCTAACATTATGTCTAAAGTGATGACAAAACAGGTGATTTTGCTTACATTTTAAGATTACAAAGCTGAGCGTCATGAAATGCCATCAGTCTACAAAGATATTTCTCAGTATTTCTAGGGGTATCACAATAATTAACCCCAAAAACTATGATATAAATACAGTATAAATACTATGACCCAAACTATGATATAAATACAGTACAACATACAAAGGACAGAGATCAACTTAGAAAGTCACTTACCTGTTTTGTAATGACTTGATGATTTATAGTGATTGATGATTTAATGAGTTTTCCACCTCTAAGGGCTTATTTTACAGTCTCTGTCGCCATCTGGTGGCAAAGCGTCAAACATCTTTGCTCTGCTCAGTATGACAGGCTCATGTATGCTAATGCGCTGTCTCTCTGAAATTATAAATATTTAAAAAATAGGCACTATCCTTATAAATAAACTGCATATTGCAATCTAAACAACTACATTCTTGCCTAAAAAAGCCTCAAAAGTCCATTATTTTGTCCAACAGCTAAAATATTTATAAAACTTTGTCAAACTGTCAGCCAATCAGATTCAATAACCAGACAGAAGTGTTGTATAAAATGATATATATTTTAAATTATTCTGTTACAAAAATGAGATATCAAAACTAGGGATGCCTTCAAGTTCACTCATGAACTTCCCTTGCCTTGTTCCCTTGGGGAATCCCCAATGCCATTTTGAAGTGAGTTCCACTTTATCCATGAATGAGTGAAGCTTACATGGACATACCCTTAATTTGTCGATTTTGACCGAGGGAGCAAGTCGGCTTCATATTGTCCACCCCAGCACCTATACATCCCAGAATGCAATGTGAAAGTGAAGTCACAACAGTGTGGTTCCCAAGTGCTCAAGACTTCCATTTAAACCAATTCAGATGTTCTGCCTGTAGTGGACACTTGTGTAACATAATCAATGACGTTCATCTGAGGAAACTAGACAGAGAGGAGTAAGCGTTTGAAGGGCGCGAGGAAATTGGACTGGAATGTAGCCCAGATGTTGTCAGCAAGATGGAGATAATAATATTTTTCAGTATGATATGGATGCCCATTCAATTCATTTTCAGCAAAGCAAACATTTTCATGAGTTTCATCTAAATTAATCCCCAACCACATGCATGTAGGGCCATAATGATTAAAAAAAAGACTATTTTACCCCCAACATTAAAATAACAGTTTGGTTATCCATTTATGCTATTAAGATTTTTATTCATATTTTATTATATGCATTGTATGTGTTTCAATGATTTTTTTGAAAATAAAACCCCTTTAAAGTAAACCACCTTTTAAAAATATATGTGACTAATGTAATAACTTTAATTTCGAACACAGTTTTATTATCTCTCCAGCCTATTATTTCATATAGCAGGACAGCTCTTTAAAGCATCTGTTGGAGGGACAGAAAGGAGAGGGAGTGAAGCTATTTTAGGTTGTCCTATTGCAAGGACGAACAGCCTCTTTTTCAAGCGAAACCTCAGGCCTGAGTCAAATTGCCCATTTGGGCCACAGGTGGCCAACCTTGATTCCATTAAAGGACAGGAAAGAGGGGACACTGTTTTCAGGTGTATGTATAGAGAGCTCATTCAGGGGAGACGACAAATGAAATGAAGCAGAGGGATGCAAGCTGTCCTCAAATTCACCCAAGGCCACTTGGTATTGACTTCCTGCTTCTTCCTTTTCATCTACCTCAAGATTTCTATTGGCTCTTGAGTATCATTGACAACAGGACACTTCTTTTGTGGTGCTCGCTCTAAGGCAGGCATCACTATTAAGTTTTTGCTGCATAACTCTGTGGATACAGTTAGATGCTGCATTTGATCACTCTGCCATCGAATGGTTGACATATCGTCAGTTGCCGAGTGTAAAAAGTACTTCAAAATGCTACTCAACACATACTGAGAGTAAAATTCCAGCCAAACAAATGTTGGGTAAAAGTAAAAAAGTACAGCTTGAAATTATACTGGAACTACCAGAATTCTATTACAACTAGAATGGCCATTATAGTTGTTCATTCTAACTGTTAATAAAAGACTGTACTGATTAGAATTTTTTGTCACGTCATATTTCAACGCAATCTCACTGCAATTCATAACTTTTTGATTTAATGACTAATTCGGATGAATTCGTACAATCTAAATCGTACAATTTAGTACAATTTGTTCATCACCCAATGACAGTTAGGGGTGGGATTAGGTCCTTTTTAAAATTGTACATTTTCGTCGACTGAACTCGTACAAATTCGTACAAATTAGCCACTAAACTGACAAAACGTAAAATACTTACGTTTTCTCATGAGGTCAGGCTGCATATTTACATTTAAAGTATTTTTACATTCTTAGCTTCTTAGGTTTTAGAATTAACCCAGCAGGCACTGGACGTCAACATGATGTCAGATTGACATTGTACTCCAACTTTGTGGGACATTGCATTTTGTTTGGAAAAGAAAATCGAGTGGACATCAGAACCCAACATCAGGCCAACATCAATGTCCAACAATGGACAGACATTGCATTTTGGATACTTTCCAACACACCCAAAAACCTCAAAATTTCTGTCTGTAAATATAAATGTCTGTATTTGACCTCACTATGACGTATGTTATTAAGAATTTGCTTGACATTGGATTTTGGTCACTTTCCAATAACACAACCTAAAATCAACAAAAATCTAAAACTAAAATCTGCTGGAAACTTTTGGAGTTTCTTCAGTTATTATCCAAAAACCATGATCTTTTTGTAATATTTAGCCTATAATTACTAAACCACCCTCAAAGGTGGGTTTGTCTTTTAAGGGGGAAAGCAAAACAATTAAAATGATGTTTTTAAAATAGATATTAAGTAATGTTTTGCTATCAGAAAGTATTTTTTGTTACCAGAAATTTGAGTAAAATATACACATATTTATAAAAAGGCATGGAAGTATACTTATATGGCTTATATATTAGTAACGATATGAAATGTAAAAAAAAATTAAGTGATCAAAATGACTGCCTCGGTACTGCTAGTTTTAAGTTTTCAAAAGTAAAAGTAACCTAGCAAGAATAATAAAACAAGAGTAAAAAGATTTTTGTTAAATTCACTGTAAAAAGCAATTTGTTTCTTTACTTTAAAAAAGTGAGCAAACCTGTTGCCTTAAAAGCGATGAGTTGACTTTACTTTAAAAAGTGACTAAACCTATTGTAACTTAATGTTTTTTTATAATTATGCATATAATTTACTTAGTTAGGGCAACATGTTTACTCACTTTTTAAAAGTAAAGTCAACTAATCGCTTTAAAATCAACAGGTCTAATAACTCAACTAATCTCTTTTACAGTGGAGCTCACAACAGATTTAACATGCACTCATCTTGTGCATTTCAATTAAAAGATAAAAGATGTTGAACTTACATAAAAAGCTATAAAACAGCAACAGAAATTTATTTCCTTAAAGATTTAACTGAAGCTAAAATGTGCCGTGATATATGCGAAAACAAACATCATTGTTTTTTGCATGTCAAGCACATATTTGAGAGTCCATTTATGTGCATAAGATGAAAGAAGATCATACAAGTACTTTTTAAGTTTAAATAAAAACTACTGTTTTATTTCCCAGAAATGTACGCAAATAAAAGAATAAGATATCAGTTTAATCTGTAATTGAGCAAATCACAATTACCCCTAAAAATACTTAAAACTGCAATCAAATAAAATTACTCCTTGTTGTAAAAATATAGACACACAAATTAGCTAAGCTTTTACAGTTACTGTATTGGTTTATTTATATATACTGATATACATATTTACTATACTCAGTTTAACTGTCAATGAATACCCAAGCAAACC